CGGCGCAAGGAGAGCACGAAACAACAACCCACAACCGATTATCTCAGTTCAACAGCAAACCAATAGCAAATGTTAGTTTTTAACTAGGAATCAAACTCCCAAAAATAGGGTGGCTTGAATATTATAAATAGCATGTAATCCCTAATGTAACGTTGGACACGGTTGATACGAAATACAAGCAGAAAATTACTAGCCATATAGAGCGAAATCGGAGCCTTTCTTTTGCAAATTTTCGAAAGAACAGTAGGTAAAGTTCTTACCTTTTGGTGGTCGTCTTGTATGGTTGTTTGTTGCTTCACCTTCCTTTGTTTTTTTTTTCTCTTTTCACTTAAGAAACGCTAAAAATGCCGATGAACATGTGGGGATAGAATGTTTCTTCGGAGCCTTTGAGCTTAGATCTACCCCCCTGAGGCTTGGTTTTTGAGAAAACTGTATTCGTTTTTGGAACGAGCACGTCGAAATCTCTCGAAAAAAACTAAACTTTTTGACTTTTGCCGCCGATGACCGGCGGACGTCGCCGATCAACGGCGGCGGCGAGGCGGCGTACGGTGGCCGTGTTCTGGGTTCATCGAGACCCACGGCTGTGTTCTTCATCCTCGATGAACAGAGGAGAGGATGAAGAGAGGGGAAGGAGGGACGTTTCAGCGAGAGAAGAGGAGAAATGAAATATTAAAACAAATTTTTGACTTATAAATGTGACCCGTGAACCCGATGTATGACCCGCGCGCTGACCCGCCCCACACGCAGGATCCGCGTGTTTCCGTTTGGAAGTGGGATAATCCCACTTTTGGTCCCTTCTTGTTCGCAGGCTTATGATTTTACCCCCTAATTCGAATCCAAACCCCGATTTTCTTCTGATTTAGCCCCCTATTTCACATTTTTTTTAATTTAATCCTTCATTTGTAATTACTTTATCTTTTTACTCTATTTTATATTATTATATATATATATATGTATTTTTTCCTTTTTTTTTCTAATATAATCATATATATACGCATGTATATTTGTTTATTATTATTTATTGTTATATGTATATTTATTTTCATTTATTCGTTTTATTTAATACTACATTGGATATTTACGTACATATATTCTTTGTGTTTTTTAAAATTACCATTTTATATGTACATATTTAATTATTTTTCTTTCCTCCTTTATTTATTTCATATGTTTATTTTATTCGTTACTATTATATATATACATGTATCTTTTTTTCCATTGTTTATATCTTTGTTATTGTTATTACCCTCATACATATTTTTTTTCCCTCTTTCATTTATTTTTCCATTCTATCTTATGTGTTTTATTTGCATTTTTTATTTAATACGTTTCTTGATCTTTTAAGGGCAATTAAAGTATTCTAAGGTAAGTGATTTGGATCGCTATTTTACCTTTTAATTTAAATTTACATTTTTCTTAACTAAAGACAACTGGAAATTACGTAGTACCGAAAGGGCGGTTCAAGGGTGCTAATCCTTCCTTGACCGTAACCGACTCCCGAGCCCGACATATTTCTGGTAAGATGCAGATCAAGTAAGAGACAGGGTACCCGATCAACCCACTTTTCGTAAAGTAAATGATCGGTGGCAACTCCAATCCACATTTTTTCAAGTCGAAGCCCAATTCCGGGGCCCAACCGAAAGACGGTTTTGACAATAACTATTTATTCAACGTATCATATATAAATATCAGGTTTTCAATCATGTTACTACATCACAATTTTAGAGTAAATATTTATTAAAAAAAACTTTCAATAATATTTGGACTGAGTAAAGACTACTGGCCGAGGTTGCCATGCAGGGCTGAACGAATATGGCCCTATCTTCACAATCGGGCTTGTAGTGTTGTCTGCCCTACTCGTGCGTGGCCGAAGTCGATAAGGTTCTCTTCTCTCTAGCAGTAGGCCTGAGACGTTAAAGCATGCTCAATTACCCCCGGATTAAGGCGTTGATTGCTTTGATCACCACCAGCACCGAGTGAGAAACAGCGTACAAGACTTGGCTTCCGGAATCAAGATATACATGACGCTATAACCTTCTCGGTTACACCAAACAACTTAATATTTCATTTTCACTCATAAAACTAGGAAATGGAAGTTAGCAACTGACGATATTCACTTTAGATTTGTTTTGTTTAAATTTTCAATAAAATGAAATTTAAGGATTATAACCAATGATAAAGAGTGATATGCTTGTGTAGATGATAGGGTTTGAGCATTCTTACCTATAAGGTATATGTGAATTTATTCGTGTTGAAACATTATAATAAAATCTCTTATATTTATTAACATTTATGAAAAGTTTTAGTATTTTTAAAATTTAAAAATATAATTTTTTTTAAGAAAAATTATTCTATGAATCATTTCACCATGTCATCTATAGTTGCTATTAATTAAAATGATATATATTATTAATTTATTTTTCATGTCTTTCATATATTAATATTATACTTTCTAAATCATCATCTTTAAATTTTTGAGCGACGATTTTTCTCCTCTCCACCCTCTAAGTCCATCATTGGCGGTTAATAATTAGAATTTAAGGGTGTGTTTGGTTGGGGGAATGTGGGATTCCCATAAGAATGGAATCCACATTCCCTCGTTTGGTTGGCCGGGAATGTTATTCTTAGTAATCTTACATTATCAATAGTAGATTTTTTGAGGTATATTATCGAGAATGTCATTACCTCTATTTTCTTAGGTATTGTTGGATTACCGGCGTTTTGGATTAAAATGCCCTTAAAAATATCCTTTCAAAAATCTCCTTATTCTGTCATTGAATAATAAAAATTCTACGAAGGTTAAATTATAAATTTATCCTTAAACTATTTTATCTTTACAAAAAAGTCAATAATTAAAATTTTATATGAAGTTCAGAGGTTAAAATAAAATTTTACCCTATCATTAAACTTTTTTATATTTTTAATTTTGTAAAAAATTATATAAATTTTATGAATTTGAATTTTTAAAGAAAATTATATAAATTTTATGAATTTATATTTTTAAAGAAAATATATAAATATTTTTTAACTTGTTAAAAAAATAAATATATAATAAAGACAATTTAGTTAAATATACATTCCAATAATCTTTTATTCCTTTAATCAAACATGTTAATCTTACATTCATGCTAAACCAATCAAACACAAAATACGACATTCCTAGTAATCCTATTCACTGATAATCTTTTATTCCCACTGATAATCTTTTATTCCTACTGATAATCTTATATTTCGTGAACCAAACGCATCCTAAAAATGTTAGTCGTAACCTTTTTGCTTCACTGTCAGTGTACATGTCCTTTCGATCACTAAAAAAGCTGTCGTGAGCGCGTCCCTACCTCATGGTTTTCAGAATCGGGCCGGTTAGCAAACCAGTCATGATACCGGTTCATCGGTTCAACCGGTCGAACCGGTCCGACCGGTCGGAAGAACCGGACGACATCATAATTATTTAAAAAATTAAATAAAAATACCAAAAATATTTAATAAAAAATAATTTTTTATATCACAAGTCATATTAAAATCAAGTCATAACATATATAAGTTAAAAACAATAAAAGCAAGTAAAACAAAATGATTCAAATTAACTACAATATAATATTTAAGGTAAAACATATTAAATAATAAATATAATTATATAACTATAATTAAAAAATAATTTTGGGGCTAAAAAATCATAACAAAATGATATTTGTTTAGTTTAATTTTTTTTAAAATAATCCCACATGGCTAAGAAACATAGAAAAGCATCCCAAAAGTCTAAAGAGTAAAAATATGAGAACAAAACAATCCTACATGACTAAGAAACATAGAAGAGCATCACAACTAACTTCTATAAATAATAGAGGTAATTTGACATTCAAAATCATGGAGCCTTTTGGTGAGCATTGAGTGAACTATTTTTTCACTTCAATTAAGCTCGAATTTTAGGCTTCAATCGAGCTTCTATTTTTTTTAAGTTCAAGCCTTTTTGAGTTCAAGTTTTAATATTATATTTCGAGTTTGAGTTGAACTTGATAATTTTTAGCTCGTGAGTTTGAGTCGAGTTGAGCTTACTTTTAAAGTTTTCAAGTTCGAGTCGATCTCAGCAATACTCAAGTTCGACTTGGCTCGTTTAACAAGCGACGTCGTTTGGTTTAATTTTTTTTAAAAAAAAAAACAAAATTTTTCGATGTTTTCCGATTTTTCCAGTTTTCACCCGGTCTGGTTCAAACGGTTTAGCGGTTCTGGCCGGTTCACTAGTAACAGTTCAACCGGTGTAGATTCAACCGGACTAAACAACGATTCTCGATTGAACCGATCAATCCGATCCGATTTTCAAAACAATGCCCTACCTAAACCCTCTGTTCAAAATTTTTAATTTCCACTCTGACAAAGCTCGTGATTTCCACTGCTCCACCTTCTGCACTGCCACGTGTCATTCATGCGCCACTCCCTCCACCTTACAATCCTCCATCTACTTTTGGGATAACACATCATCACGCGTCGTCGCATAATAACTTTTCTTTCTTGAACCCTTTACGTTTGCCAAGTGTCACATTTCATCAAATAATCTCTTGCCACGTGTACGAACTCCAGGTACGGTCCACATAGGCATACTTCATCAATCCCTCCAAAAGCTGCAAAAAGCAAACTTGACCCCACTAAGCTGTAATGCACTGGCACCAGTTCAGCCACGTTTCGCAATCATAGACAATGCCAACGCAGGGAAAATCGGTTCTGCCCTTACGAGATTTTACACGTTTCATATACGAGAAGCCGTGACGTAACTTTCAGAATGCAACGGTCGAGATTCGCAGGCACAACGAGATCTGCCGCCACGTTGCGTAATCGGCTAGGGTCCCCCACCAAACTGTTTTGTTATTTCCATAAACGTGTCGTGTCCCTCACCTCCTCATGCACGTGGGCCACGTGTTATCCTCCCATCTCCTTCTTCTTAATTATATAACTAAATCAGCGATTTGCCGCTAAATTTAACTCTGATGGGGGAAACTTGGGATAAAAAGGAAAGCCAACGAGGATTTAATTGAGGGCGTTTAAAAAAATTAGTGCTAACCCGGCCTTAATGCTACTTAACGCTTCCGTAAAATATGTTAACAGACAAAAACTCTCTTACGTGTCAACACCAACCGAATATCTCCTCTTCTCCCACCTCAACACGTGTCCTTTCCTGTCTCTTCTCTCCCTGAAAATCTGAATCCAAACAGTATTACAAAAGCAAGTGCCCGTACGAAAAGAGCACATTTTATATTTTATTTATTGTTTCTTTATTTGTAGTTCGAGTTTTTAGCATTCTTTTTCGAAATGGAAAATAAGTGTGCGATTATGGGGTTAAGAGAGGATGAGATTGAACTGGAACTGGGATTATCAATCGGAGGAAGCTTTGGAAAAGTCGAGAAATTAAAGCCAGTCAAGAACGAATCAAAGCGCGATGATATCCCGGTTGCAGATCGCGGGGAAAGCTTGGTTTTTGATCCGCAAATGAAACGAAAGATACAATCTTTAAGGAGACAAGAAGCGAAGAAGAAACGAGAAGAAAAGCAGCAAAAGAGATGCCACCACAACGGTGAATTCCGAAGCGAAGAGAACGACGATGACGATGTAACGGAACAAAGAGAATGCAAGAAGAACAAAGTTGAAGAATATTCTGGGGATGTAAATCTTAATTTAAACGCCGAACTAAATAATCCGTTGGCGTACCCAGTTTTCCCGGTGCGGGTCCCGTACCCGTACCCTCATCTCCAATTTGTCCCGGTCGCCAACGGGTTCCCCTATTCTTGGGGTGGTGGTGCAAGTAAGGTTGCGATGAATGGCGGATTACAAACGGGTCATGTTGATAATGCAAACGGATATGATTCGGAACAGAATAACGGCAAAGATGAACGGAATAGGAAAACTGGGTCCAACGGATCTTCCACGTATAGTTCCTCCATTGCTTCAGATCTTCAAAGCTCTTCTAATCCAGGCACTACCTCTCACCAAATGGACTCTGCTGAAAGCATCGACAAATGTAGCAATGACGGCATCGAGAAGGCGCCGCGGATGAATCTGAAGAAAGCGCCACCCAAACCTGAAACTAAAACTACAAGTTCAACGAAAGATGCCGATAAAGGGGAGATCGGGAAACTTCCAAATCCCCAAACTCCTCCTATTCATGACATCCTTCGTAACATGCCTCGCGTTTCAACGACGGGGAATGGACCCCATGGCAAAACCATTAATGGATTTCTGTACAGATATTCTAAATCGGAGGTCAGCATCATCTGTGTCTGCCATGGAAGCTCCTTCACACCGGCAGAGTTCGTGCTGCATGCTGGTGGCAATGATGTATCACATCCTCTGAGACATATTACCGTGATTCCTTCGGCTATACAACAAATGTAGCCATGCCTGATTCTTTTGCACGGTCTTTAGGCCCCTTTTTTTTCATATTTTTTCTTCTAGAGCGTGGGAGTTGCAGAAATCTGGGTAGCAAATTATGGGTTGTATATTTGTCGATGGCGCATTTTCTCCCGAAACTGAATAGACGAGACTCGTCATTTCCTTCCCTTGCGAAAAGGTTTAACTGCGGTAACTAACAAGAACATTTAGTTTATTTCTTTTAACTGGCTTCTTTTATATCTTTTGCCATTCACTATGGAAATAATTGCTCTTTTTTTAATGTATAGAAAGATTACATTTTCAAAATGTGCTGACAACGAAAGTGTTCTTAAAGTTTTGTTTTTTTTAATGAAAAATATTAGATGAGATTGAACATGTCAATTAACCAATATCAGTGTCTCTAGAAAAATTAACTTCCGAAATATGTTAATAATATGATAAGTGAGTTTAGGGATAGTAATACAATAGTATTCCAATAAAACCAGACTCTAATATAAGTTAAGATAATTTTATTTTATCGGATCGGATTGAAGGTATAAATTTCTATAATAGGAGTATATAATTACTTTTATATAATATCAAATTATTTAATTCAAAATCTTTAAATCAAAATAGGATAAACTACTGGAATGGACATTTACCTTTCATATTTGTATACTTTTGCTCATTAAATTCAAAAAAAATAAGTTTTGGTAATTTATGTTATCGTTGAAATATTCCATATCAATCCTCAAACAGTCAATATCATTCCATTTAATCTTTCTGTTAACGTGTCATTAACTCTATTGGTTAAAAAATAATATGTTTTAAAGGTCATGATAATATTTTAGAAGATCGTTGATTCAATTCTCATGACCTTCAAGAACAAATCAAATTCTTTTTAACCAGTGTAGTTAATGACACATTAACGAAAAGATTAAAATGGAATGATACTAATAGTTTAAAGATTGATATAAAATGTTTTAAAATTTATGAATCAATTTAGAACGATTTTGAGGTTCAGCTCTTGTTGAGCACGCTTCATGGCATGTCTATTGTTCATCAAGTTGGACAAATCCAAGTAATTGCAATGGCTGTGGTTTCAATACCTGCTGCAATTAGCATCTAGAATATGCAAAAGGATAACCCCAGATCAGGATCATGGAACCATGTACCAATGAAGACTAAAAGATTAATGTAAAAACATATAGAATATATATACCGTTAATCTTTTCGCTTCTATGGCCGTTTATGGACTCAACATCATCCTTTATCTTCGACAGCGTCACATCGATGAAATCTTGGTCGTTGTTGTTTGCTCTTGTTTTAGGCTTCTTTAGTTTATGAACATCAATCCAAGTTTCGATAAGTGATTCCATCTCCGTTGAAATACGCTTCATGGATTTCACTTGGCTGCTCCATTTATCCATCCATTTTAGAAACGGAACCACTTCCGAAACTGCTGTAACAGTGGCTACCACTGACGAAAATTCTTTGATAAACTTGATGACGCGTTGTGCTTCTTCATCGGCTTCACCGTCAGGAGCCGAGGAATATCTTTGCCCTGCAATCATTCTTACCATCATGTTTACTATCAAAACTTCTAGCCTCGGACCCATCTAGATCTTCTGGTTTGGAACCTGCTCATTTTTATTGCAAAACAAGTACAAATGTTTTATAAATGCGTTCACCTCCGAGACTTGTGCACACTTTAATAACCCAACCTTATGGACCGAGAGGAGTTCAACCTATAGTATCTAATTGCCGTTGCGGATGCGATTGCGGATGCTGCGGACGTTACGTAACGTGTTTCGACTGTCGCGGGCGTGATCTCTTACTCAAAAATCACAATACATCTAAAATATTATATTTATATATTTTACAGTTATCTTTTAATATACTAATATTAATATAATCTTTTATTATTTTATTTTGAAAATAAAAATTTATTAAAAACAAATATAAACCATAAAAGTGTTATTATACTGGATAATGGGTAATAACAATTATAATGTTAATAAATAATATATAAACAATATCACTAAAGTGAATTCCTCTCTTATACAAAATTTATATAATAATAAATAAACATATAATTATGATACTTATTGTTAATATAAAAATTTAATTTAAAATTAATCATGTCAATTTTAGATATGAGAAAAATTCAATTTAAATTAAATTAATTTTAAAACAACCTTAATAAATAATTTAATTAATTCAAATTTAAGTAATTAATTTTAAAAATAATTATTTTGATATTGTTAATGATATATATTTATAATCCAATTTTAAGAATTAAATTAAAACAATTTATCTATGCAAGTTTATATTTCAGATAATTTAGAGTTTGTTGCGGCGTTGCGGCGCAATATATAGCATGTTGCGGTGTTACGTAATGGTTTTTGACTGCAACAATCATTATGCGGATCCCTTATCGCGTTGCGCCGATATTACGTCACGATAACCTTATAAAATATTACAATACGGGCATTACACTGCGTTTCGGCCACAATTTATTGGCGTTGTCCGCATCTTCTGTAGTCACGACATTGATATTCAAATCTTTCAAAGCCACTTCTAAATCGGATGAGGTGGTCTCAAACATATAACCACCTGACTTGAATGTGTGATACAGAGGTGGGAATACCATTGGTTCCCGTTGAAACTCGCTTCCAGTCAACCTGGCTAATCTTCTTTCCCGTTTCTTCTGGATTTCCTTCCTCTTTTCATGATAATTGGGCTGAAAACCAAGCCCAAACTGCTCTAATTTTGAAATAAGAATGACTGGATTAATCTTTCCTTGTAAATGCTTCCCAAACCCTCTTCCAGTCTTAGCGCCTCGTCCTAAGGTTTGCTTGACCTCCATTTTGGTGCACTTGGATAGTCGGGGTTTAGGAATCATTTTTCCTTCTGCTACGAATGTGGCATTCACGAATTCTAAGGAGCGAAATGAGCATTCTACACCTTCATCGTTTACTTCAATATACGGGGCATCCGTGGTCACACTTGCCACGATATCTTCCTCAGCATTAATGATTACTAAGGCCCCGTCGATAACAAACTTAACTTTTTGATGCAGAGTGGATGGTACTGCACCTGCTTGATGAATCCATGGCCTTCCCAAAAGACAGTTATAGGAAGATATGATATCCATCACTAGAAACTCAACATTGTAGGTGGCCGGTCCGATCGTTAGCGGCACCTCAATCTTGCCAATTACCTCTCTTTTGGTCCCATCAAATGCTCGGACCACGTTCTGACAGGCTCTCATATGAGAGGTATCCATTGGCAGCCTCTTCAATGTAATCAAAGGCATCACATTTAGGGCCGATCCGTTATCGATCAATACACTTGGTAGGGCATGCCCTTTGCAATACGTAGTGATGTGTAATGCCTTTGTTCGGCCTCTTCCTCCGGATGGAATCTCATCATCTGAAAATGAGATGAGATTATCAGCTTGAATATTGTTCACCAGTCGATCCATCTTGCTGACTGGTATGTTTTGTGGCACGAACGTTTGATTTAGGACTTTCAACAGTGCCTCCCGATGTGCCTCTGAGTTTAACAAAAGTGCCAACATTGAAGTGCGCGTTGGCAAGTTGTGAAGCTGTTCTACAACACTGTACTCGCTATGTTTCAAGAATTTGAGAAATTCTTTAACTTCTTCCTCCTTTATAGGTTCATTGATAGCCAATACATCTTCTTTGAAAGGCTCAAGTGGTCTCTGCCCCACTTTGCTATCACATTCTTTGGAAGTACTCACCTGGCATTCGTACTTCCATGGCACTTGTCGACTGTCCTTGTACTGAAAAGGCCGAGGTGCTGTGATCACCACCTTTGCTTGAGTTGTTGTCGTCGTCTTTGCTTTAGGGGTAATTACCAATGGACTTCCCCTACCAAATCTTCTTTCTGATGATTCTCCGGTAGCGCAAACGTCTGCTTCCGGGGAATCCTGAACTTCTTCGTAAAACTCCAGCTCTTTTCTGTCCATCATGAGTTGGACTAATGTCTTGAACTCTGGGCAATATTGCACTTTATGCCCTTCTTCATTGTGGTAACAACAATGGTTACCGTATTCATTTCCTGCTGTATCTGGATATAGTGCAAGAAGCCCTGCTTTTACCATTTGGCTCCATACCCAAACCAAAGGAGCTTTAACTTCTGAAACACTCAATTTGACTCTCTTGCCCTTCTCGATGGTGACTGCGTTAATTCCAGTCTCTTGATGATTTGGCAAGGGATTCTGGGCGACGTTTGGTGTTCCGGAGTTGAAAGTGATCCAATTCTTATTTCGCATTCGTTGTACAAGCCTCTTGAATGTGAGACAATTTTCGATTGAATGCCCCTGTACACCACCATGATATTCGCAGTTAACATTCTCGTCGAACCATCTCGGGTAAGGGGGCTTTATTGGATCCATAGGATAAGGCGACACAACGTGAGTATCAAAGAGCTGTTGGTATAACTCTTTGTATGTCATGGGAATGGGATCGAATTGCTCTCTTTCCCTTTCCTTTCTTGGTTCTCTCTGGTTCTGTTTAGAAGTACCAGATGGTACAGCTGCAGTGGTATTTGAACTTGAGATCGTAACACCCTTGTTTGGGTTGTAGGTGTTGACATTATTGATCTCTCGTTCTTTGTTCTTCACAAGAGACTTCTTACTGGAGTCACCTCCCTCAATTTTTCCTTGTTTTATGGCTAATTCGATCATTTCACCGGCCATAACTAGATCTGAGAAACTTCCTGATGTGATTGCCACTAGGTGCCCGAAGTAAGGTGCCTTCAGGGTCTGTACAAACAACTTTCTAGTTTCCTTTTCATCCAAGGATGGATGAACTTGCACAGCCAAATCCCTCCAACGCTGTGCGTATTGTCGGAAACTCTCGTTATGTTTTTTCTCCAAGCTTTGGAGCATAACCCGGTCTGGTCTCATATCGTTGATATGCTTGTACTGCTCCAAGAAAGACTTGGCTAAGTCTTTCCATGTCTTGATATGAGTTCGGTTGAGCTGGTTGTACCACCGGATAGCTGAACCGGACAGGCTCTCCTGGAAGCAATGGATCAGGAGTTGGTCATTTCCCACATATCCTGTCATTTTCCGACAGAACATAGTGATGTCTGCTGAGGGGCAGTTGTTCCCATTAAACTTCTCAAACTCAGGGACCTTGAATTTTGGTGGAAGTACCAAATCTGGAACTAGACTCAACTCCATT